TCGGGAAGGTGAGCATCATAGAATGCCAATTTAATAGAAGAAAGTATTCTTGCATTGAGGGAGTACTTGAGTGGAGGCCCAATGTCCCTCTGCTACCTTAATACTAAACCTATAAATATAGGCACATAGATCTATTTCCCCATCCTCATATATAAATATATTTGCCTTTTATAACTAAGTTCTGCTTTTCCAAAGGGCCCAAACCAAGTCCATCCATGGAAACAGCACTTTTGTCACATCTCTGGTGGTGCTGTTGGGAAAACGTTGGACAGCTAGCTGGAAGGTCAGCAGTTCAAACCTACCAAGTGCTTCATGAGAAAAAGAAGAGGCTCTCTGCTTCTTAAAAGATTTACAGTCTCAGAAGCCCTATGTGGGTGGCTCGGAGGTCTGGTAGTGTAGTGGGTTAGGAAGTAAGCTGTTAACAGAAAGGCCAGTGGTTTGAACCCACCAGTTGCTCTGAGGGAGAAAGATGAGGCTTTGCGCTCCCATGAAGATGTTACAGCTTTGGAAAGCCTAAGGGACCATTCTACTCTGCCCTATAGGGGCACTCTTAACTCGGAATTGACTCAATAGCAGTGGGTTTGGCATTGTAGTTCAAAGAGCCCTGGTGGGTCAGTAGTTAAGGAGCTCAGCTAATAACCAAAAGATTGGCAGTTCAAGTCCATAAGCCACTCTACAGAAGAAAGGTGTAGAAACCTGCTTCTTTAAAGATTCACAGCCTCAGAAACCCTATTGGGAAGTTCTACTCTGTCCCACGGGGTCACGGTGGGTCAGAATCAACACAAAAATGAGTTTTGGTTTCTGTGCACTTTTAATAAAATTACAGTCAGCACTCAAGCATGATCGACCTTAGTATCCCTTAGACACAGGCACGCATACTATAGCATGTCTGCTTAAGCCTGGCTCTAGAGATGAACATGGACATTTTCCTGGTCAAAAAATGGCAAGCAATGTGGCCTCGCCCCAGTCCTATCACACTTTTCAGGCCTCCCTGGTTGTTGATGGGTCAAGCACCTGATTCTTCTGTGCTTTGCTGTCCAGAAGTCTCAGGCTCAGCACTGAGCTCTAATTTAGAAGTTGTTTGAAGTCCTCTGGAATTGAGTATAAATCTTAAATAGGGCCACAAAGAAAAAAGGGATAGACCTAATTTTTATATGCAGTTGAGTATTAATTCAGCGCTACGTCAAGCCACATTCATTAAGCCAATCTTAAAAGGATACAGAAACTTTTTAATTTATTAAAGGCTCCTATGGTTCTCCGTCTTTATTACTTTTATACACATACACACATACTACCACCACCACCACCCAATTTTTAAAAAGTTGTGTGTAAGAAAGATTATACCATATCTATGCTATTATTTGGACAATTATACAATTAGAAATATGGCTGAAATAGGAAACTGCAGTTAGGAGACAGGAAGAGGAGAGAGGTGAATCCTCCATTCTTGAGATTAGGAGTTTAACAGCAAATTGAACAAATCTCTAGAAAGGATTATTAAAAGGATGTTTTATGGGAGCTGGGAACTGACTTAAATCTGTCAAAGATAAATCACCTTGGCCAGATCTTACCATTGGAGCTAGGGCTACTAAATTAGTATATTACTAGGATATAATAAACATAGTCTTTGTTATAATCCACATCCACGGTTTTCATCATCAAGCTGTGGATGTGGATTATAAGAAAGTCTTCTATTATTATTGCTTTTGGTT